TCCGGTGCCCTTCAGGTTTAGATTCAAAATCTGCTGATTGGAGCCTTCTCATGCCAGACCGACCCACCTCTCAATGTCTTTGAATGTGTGTGTGTGAGTAGGTGCGCACCCCTAGTAGGTACACAAAGCACTATTAACAACTTACATTACATTTTTTTTAAAGGACACTTAACTAGCAGGTGTTGATTGAAATATTGCTTAGAGTTTACTTCCCTAAACTCTAAGCAGCGCACACACACACACACACACACACACACACACACACACACACACACACACACACACACACACACACACACACACACACACACACACACACACACACACACACACACACACACACACACACACACACACACACACACACACACACACACACACACACACACACACACACACACACACACACACACACACACACACACACACACACCTGGCTGTTTCCTTGAGGTGTGCAAGAAGAGACAAGTACAGTTGCTATAGTTTTCCTTCTGCTCAAGAATAACAGAAGCACACTGGTTCACTATTAGGTCTTTCCATCTTGTCAATTTAAGATGGCAAATGCAATACGATCATTGTCAATGGCTTCATTTGAATAGAGAGGTTTAGCCACTGAAGTGCAGAGTGTGTGAGCAATGCCGGGGTTTATCACTTATTTGATGATCTCACTAGTGTTTCTGAAAGATTGCAATTGTTACCAAAAGAGAATTGTAATATCATGGCTCTGTGCTTCACACTTTTTCACAGCACATCCCTCCGTCCTCAATCACAGGAAGTGTTTATAGATGCATTTAATTCTCCTTCCCCTCTGAGATGGATAACCTGCTTTCTCCTGATTTTGTTTGTTTGGCTTCTCACACCTTTGTCAGGCAGATTACCTCAACAGCAGTACTACCATACAGGAATACAATACAGAAGTTTCAGCAGTGGGGGATGCTTTTAAATCTCCCACGTTATAGCCTCAACTCCAGCAAATATTGAATCAAAGTGAAATGCAAACTTTCACTCTATTCACTTTCAATATCCTAAAAAATAACATCGCTTCTGCTCCATCTGTTATTCCAGATTTGCACAAAAGGCCAGAAGAGAAAGACTACTACTCTGCCAGAGAGAAGGCAGCTCAACTCACAGAAGCAGACAGACAAATGAAGTACTGTTCTACCTTTTGATGCACAGACAGGGGTTTTTAAATCTAAACTAAAAACACACTTCTTCTCTCTGGCTTTCTAGTTAGAGCGGAGCACGACTCCTGACTTTTCCGTGTGTTTTATTTTTATTTTGTTTTTAAGATATATCTGTTGTAATTTATTGTCGTTTATTGTGATTTGTAGTAATGTGTTTTTATTACATGTACAGCACTTTGGCTCGACCAAAAATCACTTTTAAATGTGCTATATAAATAAAACCTGATTTGATTTGATTTGATTTGACATTTGGAGTCTGCTCCCTCTCCCTAATGGAGAGATAGTGGTCTAATGTGCCACTGTGGTTCTTTCAGAGATTAATACGTTAATGAGCTAGCAACAAATGAATAGCTCCTTTGGAAGGATCAGCCTTAAGTGTTCCCCGGCTAATACAGTTAATAAGCCATAGTCACGCCACAAAATGTACCACAGAAAATGCTCTCATACAGGAGCTGCAGGGCAGAGAGATGATATGGTTCATTACAGATTCACTGATTTATTCTCCTGTTCATGGCTGTGATTGCGGCAGTTGGTACATGACTAGGCCTTGTTTAGTTGGCACACAAAGTACACTATGTCTCCAGGCAAGAGGAGCAGGATCATAATAAAGATCAAACTGGCATGACATCATGCAATCAGACTGCACTTTCTTTTAGAAGCATACAGCTAATTGTACAAATATTTATACCTTCCCACTCTTGTCTTTTAGGTTTTTTGTCCATCAATAATTTACTAAGCCTTCCTTACAGTTTCAAATATTAACATTGTGCTGTGTTTTCATAGTTGCCCACTTGTAGAAGCATCTGCATTCTTACACAAAAAAAAAAAAATGGCACCGGTGGTGATGGCTGCTGTGTCTTTTGCTCCTCTCCAACTCTGCCTTTTTATATCTGTTTTATTGTGTTGCACTGTTGGAGGAGCCTGTGACCTACGATTTTCATTGTCATAACTACACTATAGCTATGTACAAATGACAATAAAAGACTTGAATCTTGAAACATGCATTCAGTATGAAGGAAGCTATAGGCATATCACCTTAGTGAGACTTGCAGGAATTCCATCACATCTGAGTGATGACAGAGACAGTGAGTCTGTTCTCTGCAGATTAGCGCTGTTCATTAGCTTGGTAATGAATTCTCTCTCAGCATAATAGCGGGCGGTCATGCCCCCTTTTAACACGGACCCCGGGAGCTCTGCCAGAGCTACACAGGGGTAAACAAGTCTGCAGATAGATGGAAGCTAAAATGTGCCTCCTGTAACACTATAATTATTTTCATCATTAGAAAAACTAATTTAGTCCTTTGAAACGTGTTAAAGTTGATGTATTTATGTAACAGTTTGTCTAATATTTGTAAAGTCATTAAAGAATAATAATAAAAATAATACATTTTATTTAACCTACAGTTTAATAAATACTCTAAGTGGTTAAAATCAACCGAACATGATCAAATGTTGTTAGTGAAAATTATGATGACGGAATTATATTATTCCCTTTGATATAATATAATTGTCATTGAATGCGCATTGAAATGTCATCCATTTTGAACATCACTTCAGTGGGAGGGCAGATGTCATGAAAACACATCAAAATGTCAAGAACCGCAATGTCAAAAAAATGCCTGATGGTGAGCTCTTCTTTCAAAATTGTTGTAAATAAACATGTAAAACATTATTTTTTTCCCCAAGCTTGTAATTTCAAAGAGCTTGACGAGTGTGAGTACAGCAGTAACTGAAGAACAACAGTCGCTATCCACCTCAAAGCTTTGGAAATTGCATAACAATACACCCAAGTCCAATAGGCAGGCTGGTGAAAATTACAGATATGAGCTGTTCATGCGTCACAGGATAAGTGTTGCGACTGCCTGTTGTCTAAAACAAGGCCTTTGCTGTAATTTGTTATAGTTACCAATAAGCAAATCCCATCTTTTCAAGAACCAAGATTTTGTATCTGGATGACACATATTATTTTAAAGGCTTAGGAACATCTGTGCAGGCAACAGGACTCACCAGGATATTGATTTCTACTTTGAGCAGAGACTAATGGGTTTTGTCCTGTAAATCTCTGACAGTGGTTTTGATTGATTATCCCCTGCTGTTGGAATAGTGCTGAAAGGCTGGCATGTTTTATCCACATCAACAACAAGGAGCAAAGCAAAGAGGACCTGTTCAGAGCTGTGTTTAACTAGAAATGTAATGGCTATTGATTGGTATATAAGCTGCATTGTGGTGTGGATAGCCTTCTCGCTATCCTTTGGTAAAACGGTAGTAGTTTTGACAGCACACCAGCCAATACCATCCAGAGCTATTGACAGAAACAGAAGAAGGGAGCTGCAGAAGACGTTATGCCTCCCAACATCCCACTGTGACACACCGCCTCAGAACGGGAGTTTTACTTAAGTTACCTATCATCTATCTTTGAAGGATTTAACAGAATGATGATTGAGCCTATGCCCCAAGAGTTTGCAATATTTATATTTTCAGTATTACAAACTGGGTGTGTCTGGTGACATTCCTCGATAAAATGATGTGTTAAGTTTTGCTATAGTGGATACACACTGTAGGGATATGAAGTATTTTTCTGTGTTTGTTACGGTACATGTTTTTGAGTCACTATATTGCCGCAATACACACTAATACAAAAAAAGCAGAGAATTCTGAACACATGAAGCGCCCTACTGATTCTTTATCAACAAGGATTAAAATCATGAGGATTGCTACTTTAACACAGGATTAGAACTTGTAAAATGTTCATTTGAGTGTTGAACATGTAAAGGCCAAATTATAATGTCATTAGTGTCAGTAGTGTCAAAAGATGTGGCAAAATGTGATTATGCTGTGACTAAAGTTATTTAAAAGACATCAATTGATTGTTTGTGTCATTTTTGCATCTATAATGATGTGTCTATAATAATGTATCTAAATTGTGTAACCATCATAAGGCAACTATGAGTGTAACATAGTAAGACAAGTTAACAAGTAAGTGCAAAACGTGCTTGTGTGCATCTCAGTGTACTTTTATAAGAGAGTATGTTCCCCTCCATGTTCCTCTTTACTCCTCAATGGTAGTAAAAAAAAGCTTCAAAACAACTCCTTTGTTTAACTTTGTAGGCGAGAAACAACATGATAATTAGGGATGGTTAACAAGAAGGTACTGTAGGAGATCAAATTATTCTAATCAAAGCTAACACAAGCCCCAACACCTCCTCACTACATTGTGTGTGCGTGTTTGTATTTGTAGTTCTGTGTGTCTGTGTGTGTGTGTGTGTGTCTGTGTGTGTGTGTGTGTGTGTGTGTGTGTGTGTGTGTGTGTGTGTGTGTGTGTGTGTGTGTCTGTGTGTGTGTGTGTGTGTGTCTGTGTGTGTGTGTGTGTGTGTGTGTGTGTGTGTGTGTGTGTGCGGATATTAAACCAAACTGGCTTGTGTTCTCAGATCTTGAGGAAACCTCCTCCCCACCAAATTGTAGCATCAAGGAGACACAATAGGCGAGGAAGACAGAGTGTGAAATGTGTTTTAAAGTGAATATCCCTTGCCATATACATATATAAGATTAATGAAAGAGAGCGTTGTGGAAAAGAGTCTAAAGCTTATAGAGCAAAAGAAAAATGAGGAATTATAATGTCTTCATCTCTCCTTGGCTAAATCAGGCGATTGAAGGTCGAGCACAGTAAAAGTTAAAGTTAAGCTCCAAAGTCTGGTTGTGCCTACTTCTATTTGTAAATACAGACGCCACAATTGTCACACAAATTCAAAGAACGTGACAGGACAAAATGGCTTGTGTGAGTTTTTGTGCACGCAGTCATGGGCATATATTACTTACAAGTATGTTCTTGACCGTCTCCTGAGGCCTGACAGCCATCTTCATCGTCACAGTCTGTGGTGCTGCCCTCCTCTGTTTCCCCACTGCCCAACTCATCCCAGGCCTCCATCTGGCCCAGCTTAGGAAACTTCTCCTGGGTCTCCTGGACAACAAACAATAATACAAAGTTTATCACTTACTAGCAGCAGTTGTTCCCACTAAAATATTCAACATCATCATGTCCCCGTGCCCCCTTTTTCTGCTCTGACATGTCAATGCCTGTAAATGTTAGCAAGGGCCCAACAGATGATACATAGAATCCTGGGATAATCAAAGTTGGCGTGTTACATTTCATTACAATCAAAATTAAGAGGAGCATTGATAACAAGGTAGAGAGAAAGCCTTGAAAAACAAAACCATTTTTTTTTTGCTGTGTGCTATTTCCTTTATACAGCAAAAATGTATTTCTATTTGGATAGAGCTCAATTTACTCTTACACCATGTTTTTCTGTTATATATATATATTTTTTAAATAGTTACACTAGTCATCTAATATGGTCATCTGTATTTGTACTTTATCTAACTGTAATCAACATGTCGACCTATAGAAACCATCTCACATGGTACTAGGACACAGTTCCTTTCCCTGACTGGAGTATAAAACACCGCTCCTTATGATGTTCCCCCCCTCCCAGCATGGGGCCAACTAATTGGACCACCTGCCGGTCCTTCCTGCTGTCAACCATCATCAAGGTGGTCTCTGTTCCATCACACCATGTCTAACAAGAAGCTCTCCTGACACCACAACAAATAATCCTTTGGAGTATAAGGGGTTAGTAAGTGGCGTGAATAAAACATTTGTTGAACATGACGAACTATAGACACACATTATTATCTCATTTTGTTTTGGACCATCCTTAAGGGTTGTATATGCATAAATGCACACATGGACACTAATACAAATTCATGAGAAGGCTCAATCTCGGTTCACAGCTTCAGGAGGATCAACCATTAGAGACATGTTCAGAGGTGGTAGGAGGAATGGGGGGGGTGTTTGATGAAGGTGACTAATAACCTTGCTATTATCACCAGACTCTTGTGTGTCACTCAACACACCTGACAGCAAAGGTGACCTTTAACCAGTTGTCTACTGAGCCTTCAACACCCCAAAAGAAACATGAAAAGACAACATTCTGATAACTATAAGTAAACTGACAATGCAAAGCTCAATGTAGGGTATAATAATGAAACAAGACTAAGGTCCTCTGACACATGCACTGCAACCCTGAATTGATCTAGAGATTACCCAGAAGAGCTGTATTTGAGAACGCAAATGTCCAATTAATTCTGACCAAACGTCGAACAGACTTTACCCTGCCAGTTACTTAATACTAAATCCATCAAAATGGATCCTCTGGGAACCAAGAATATTGTTATGTACAAAGTTTCATAGCAATTCATTCAGTTGTTGATGAGATATTTCACTTCAAACCTTCCTACCTCGCTATAATTTATGTAAGATTTAAGAATAGATGAACAGAAAGTCAAGGCCTTAAACTGACAGGAAGAATTAATGAGGAAAATAATGAGTAACCCTCACAAAACTTGTTTCAGTGTCAAAATCATTATGAGTAAGAATATATGTTTACTTTCTGCAATATTTACCAGATTATGGATTAACATTGACAGCAAGGGAGAGTGGAAGGGGACACGATATTTTAATTCATTACATCTGCCGTGCATTACATTTGTACTTAATGTGAATGTGTGTGTCCCCCCTCCCCCCTCACTCAGGCCTGAGTGAGTGAAATGAGGGCTACAAGTGAAATGAGTCATGTGAAACCATAACAGACCGCCAGGCTCCATGAAACTGGAGTGGGCTCTTTAGTGGAAGCAGCTAAAACATATCACTTATGCTCACCGCAAAAAATGAAAGCAATAGAGAAAAGCTGGATGGCTTAGTTTTCATAGATGGTCAGTAATGTACAAGAGGATTACTTTGAAAAAAGGTGAACCACATTACATGCTGGTTCCAGTATTGCATTTTATAGTTATAGATTGGCTCACATTACATCTTGTTGACAGGCACTTTATGTGTCCTGTACCTGCTCTGCCTGATTTGAGGCTGAAATGTGAAACTTTGCTTAGGCGATGCATTGGCTGCTGGAAGCACACTAAAAATCATATGTTCTGCTTTAGCTGTATATATACTGTATGCTACTGGGAATTGTCGTGCCACTTTAATGACATTTTTCTACTGCTTCGCATTACAGGAATAAGTACATTGCTTTATGTGAAAAATAAGATCACGCATCACTGTTGTGTGTTTTGGCTAACCAACCAGTCTTGTTACAGTTTTGCTGTCCAAAATATCATTGCCCAATAACCTTAGACTATTAAATATTTGTGTGAAATATTGATGAGTGCTTGAGTTTTAAGTTGAATTATCTTTGACACCTTTTTTTTCAGTTTATCCTTAAATTAAGTTGATGCTTATAAAGTTGAGGAAATCCCCTCTATGGGTTCCTGAGATATCTTGTTCATGAGTATTGGATATATGTGAGGTCGCACTGACCTTTGACCACCTGATTGTTATCAGTTCATCCTTGAGTGCAAGTCAATGTCTTTGCCAATCTTAAGGAAACTCCCTCATGACGTTACTGAAATATCACATTTATGAGAAATGTGCAAATGTGAAGTCACAGAAACCTTGACCTTGGACCTTTTTTCAAATATTAAACAGTTCATCTTTCAGTACAGTGGATATTTGTGCCAAATAAAAAAGAAATCCCTTCAGGTGTTCCCGAGATATAGTATTTGAATAAAGAATGAACAGTAAAGAACTTAAATAAATGCAGTGCACATTCTAAGGAGGAAATGCTCTACTGAACAGCACAATGTTTGTACCGACATCCTTAAGATGACCATTTGGGTATTAAGCTAATCACCGTGCCGTTCAGGGGACGTTTAACACAATGCTGCTTGGCCCAGCTGTCCTCAAAGCCTTTTAATTAGAGACTAAATCAATGAAGGCGTCGTCACTGTGGAAACCACCGTCAGGCTGCTTAAGAATTGTTGATTGGCTGCCGTCCAATGCAGTTTGTTGGCTTGTTTTGACAATGTCGGAACGGCAGAACAGAAACTCTTCGTGTCACTTCTTTCTGTTGAAATGTCACCTTAATTGTCGTATTCCAGCAGCATAGTGAAGAAGTAAATGTATAATTTGTTCTGGCACAGTAACTACAGGAAGAGAGATACGCCATGTTCCAATATGAGTAACAAAGAGTGTTGAATTCATAATACGCAGTGAATTTTCTCTCCCTCTATCTACTTTGTGATTGACAGTTGCTGCACTGAGGACCAGCTCTGAGTTTGAATGAGTGTTTTAAGCAGTATCCTGTAGAGTAGAAGCAGAACACACATTATATGCTGCTATAAGATGTGCAAGTTCATTTCAGATAAACATAATATTATAACTGAAAACAATATGTTCTAGCATAAAAGGACTCAGGACACTTACATGAACAAGAGAGTGGATTTGAGACAACACAGTATGGTCTATTATTGAAGTCAAAAGCCTAAGAAACTTTCAAAAAGGTGTACTCATGATCCATCACACATGGTACACTGAAGCAAGTGGCTGGAATATTTCAATAGCAGCAACCTTTATGTTTAGTAAAAAGCAGAAATATAGAGTGTCTTTATCCCACAGGGACAGATATCTTTATTCTCTTATAGCTCGGCCTTCTCTCTCTGACATGTAACACAATGACTTTCACGAGGCTGCTGTGTTAGATTCAGATGAGTCTATTGATAGAAAGAAAAGAGAAAGAAAGAAATGCTTTTGGTAAAAACATTCGACTGTCAATCAGACTGTCACGTCTACCTCTTCCAAACTTATTTCACCTGTTGTTGTTACATTTAAGTCGAGTGTAGCAAAGAATATTGAGAAATCTATTAGCGGATAAATGGCTGTATCAGCCTCTTTTATGATACAATTAAATATCATCAGCATCAATCTAAAGTGTGTGTGACAATGGTCGGACTCAAACGTTTGACAATTTGGCTAATTTCAACATTTTTGTTGTAAATATTCCAAGGTCACATGATTACATGTATGGACACCAGAGTATAAAGTGCCTTGCCTTCAGACATTTTAATTCAGAACTAACAGTATTAGCCCTGAATCAAGAGTGTTGCAACTTGCCTTCAAATTCTAATATTTGCAACGCATGTGCCAAGTAGAACAAACAGATAATGACACACTGACAAGAAAGAAAGACGGCGGGAAATAAACAGAGACAAGTGGGAGTAATAGTTATAGTGAGAGAGTCGTGCAAACAGGTGAAGGGGCTAACGGGGAGATGATGACAAAAAAATAAGTCTTTATGCTCGAGGCTTGCTTCGAAATTACCCTGGCATCTTAAGACAAATGAGGTAATGCTTAGGATATAATTTCTCCTCTCACCCTGCCAACACATTTTCCTCTTTCTTTCTCTTCTAAAGCATTCCTCAGACAGAGGATGATGGGGCAGGTTTGAGAGCATCAGGGGCTGAATTCCTTCCTTACCTCCTGAAGGAGTTTGGAATATAGAAAAGGCTGAAAGAGAGAGTGTGTGTGTGTCTGTTTCGGTGTATTATGTGGGATGCTGCTGTCAAACTAATGGAACAGGATTATAAGTCAGAACCTTTGTATGCCCAGTTGCCCACATCGAGACATGTGCTATTTTTCTTCACTGAAACGTTGAAACTGAATCACTTCATTGAGGGCAGTTGAGGTGAAAACTGCATATGTGGACAGAGAGAAGGAGAGGAATAGGAAAACCCAGAGGAGACTCAAGGAAAAAATGACGGTGGCAAATCTCTGTAATGTCTGCAGAAATCCATCCAACTTTTTTAATTCAAATGATGTCCATTCTGTCATATACTGTGAAGGCTTATAATGATTATGTGTATAAGCAAATATCAACTGAGCAACAGATTAAGCATGTACTTAATGTGTAATTGTGTCGGTATACATACAGGCTGCAAACAAAGTGAACTTCTGGAACAGATATGAGGTATTGTTTGAGTGGATTAATGGCGCACGTTGTGGCCAAACCATTTTCCAACAGTTCTCAATTGTTTGATAGACTTTGACTGGAAGATAAAGAATGTTTTGGA